GCCTGGACGCGGTGCTGTGCAGCCTGCTCTGGGTGACCCTGCTTGGGCAGGGGGTTGGGCTGGGTGACCCACAGAGGTCCCCTCCAACCCCGAACAGTCTGTGATTCTGTGATTCTGTGAACCGACTGGCAAACAGTAATCACTCTCAGCGACAGGAAAGGTGATTTCTCTTGCTGAAAGGTTTTCCAGCTGTTGCCTGGGAAAACGCTACCTGTTGCTGGCCTCTCTAACCTTTCTTTGAAAACCAAGCCGATTTGATCTCTTGGTGCTAAAGCCTTGAGGCAGACGGAGGGAGCCAAGCGTCGCCGATCAGTGAGACACACGAGCTGGGCGCTAAGGACGCCGATTTTCACAGCTTATCCTGGCAGACCTCCCTGCTGTGGACTTCTGGCTGGCACCAGCCTTTTGAAGGACTTAGCAGAGGTGGATGAGCTCTGTCTGCTCCCAGGGAGTTTCTTGGAAGAACGGATCAAAAAAACCCACGCACGATTAAAACCTAGCAGTGGGCTGCAGCATCAGCGAAGCGTTCAGCAGACACGGGCACGACGGACGCAGGCTGTGCTTTCAGGGGAGGCCAGGACAGAGCAGTTATCCGAAACAGTCCAGGCAAAATGCTGGCTGGCAAAGGGTCAAACCCAAGAAAGGAACAGCAGAAACCCCAGCAGCTGGAAAGCTGCATTGGACCGCAGAGGGTCCTGCTCTGCAAAGAAATCTGCACAAGGCTACAACATTGCTATTTTCCCCTCACTCAAGCACACATTACTAGTTAGCTACTTTTTTTAGACCTCCACATTGCACCACAGAATATTTCCGTGTTTGAATTTCTAGCACCAAGATCAGACAGGAGTGTTCTGTGTTCTGACAGAGGCGAGAAGGCTTTGGGGAAAAGTAAGGTCCTACGTGGGAAATTCAGAAATTTCAGGAGAATCACACACAGGCACACCTAACCATTTGCACAATGAAGATCAAAAACACACTCGTGCTTGACGTACCTCCATAGACATCGTCCATGCAGACAATCGTATCCCCTGCCTTTAACAGGTGAGTAATGTTCAAAGTAGCAGCTAAGCCAGAAGCATAAGCTAAACCTAAAAGAAAGGAGAATAAGTGGCAGACAGACGGCATTTTAATGTGCTACCAGCTTGTCGAGCTTGCCTTCGCTTTCTTCCCTTTGCTTCTCAAAGGAACCTGTTGTGCCACTCTCACGCTGCCCATCTCCCTCGTCAGGTGAGCGCAGCCCCAGCAGCAGCCTGCTCTCGCTCAGGGTGGAAGCCAGGATGGGCACCGGTGGCACAGCCCGGCAGCGGCTGTGGCCGGGCTCCC